TTTTAAGTCTTTGCTGGAAAATTTTCAGGCAGCTGGTGTCTCAGTGGCTTGGTTATGATCAATGTCAGGCAACATAGTAAATAATGTATTTACTAGTTCCTAACAGCTAAATAATGCCCTTATATTTCACCTTAACTGAATTGTCAATACTATATTGATGAAGTGTCACGGGTTTAGAGGTAAACTGACCTTGTGTCACCATTTTTCATTCCACAGCATTATTGAAGGTTCCAGAATAAAAGAGAAAGAAAGAAATTTACTGCCCTGATTAATAGATGTTACCAATGAACTTGGTTGAGTTGCCTTATGTACACTTGATCCCTTGGGAAGGACAGGTGAATGGAGCTCACTGGGCAGTGGAAGAGGTGGGTGCTCCTCTTCCTCCCCCTTCCCTCCTCCTTCCCCTCCCCCTCCTCCCTCTCCTCCTCCTCCTCCTCCTCCTCAAGGCTGTGGACATGGCTGCTTGGCCAGCTGTCGGCTGCTCATCTCTGCAGGTGACTTGAGATCTCCTCTGATGACAAGGGCAGCTTGTGAAGCAGAGATGTGACCTGCACAGGACTGTTTCTCTCTGCCTCCAAAAATACCTCCTGATTTGTTTAGGAACCCCAGAGTACACAAAGAAGATGAAGACAGAAGATAGGTTTTATAATTCTGGGGAAAGGAACCCTTTATAATATGTGTTTGGTGGAGCCCTCCCAAACAGCTGCTCAGAACCAGTAATGAATACGTACCTACCCACACCAATCCACAGACTACCTTCATGCTGTGGCAAGGCGACCTTCTGACCTTCACCTTTCTTTTGTTCCGATCTTGTCTTCTGTGACATCCCAACTCCAATAGAGTCTTTCTCTGGATCCTCCCTGTGGTAGTTAACATGAATCACTGATTTGACAGGATCTAGAATCACATAGGGGACACACTTCTGGGTATGTCCACGAGGGAGTTCTAGATGAACTGAGATGGGAAAGCCCAGCTTGAATGTGAGTGGCTTCCTTCCATAGGTTGGGATCCCACTTGAACAAGAGAGAGAAGGTGAGTTGAGCGCCTTCATTTATCACTCTGCTTCCTGACTGGATGAGGTGTGGTCCACTGCCTCATGCTCCCACCTGCCATGCCTCCTTCCCCACCATGGTGGCCTGTACTCTCTAGAATGATTAGCCAAAATAAGCCCTTCATCCCATGAGTTTCTTCTCTGGGGGCATTTCATTCCAACAACAAAGTAACCATCACATGTACCAACCAGAAGATAGTCCCCAAACTATCTTCATCATGTCTGCTCCTTACTCCCATCCTAGAACTCACCAAGCTTGGCCTTGCTTAGCTTCTGAGATCTGAGGGCATCAGAGGCATTCGGGGTGTTGTGGCTATAGATATGTCCTTGTTTTACTGACAAACTATTGTGTCCCCAGTAGTTTATAAGAAAAGGTAAACTTCTTAGCATTTAAAAATACTTTCTGCCATTGGCTTGTATGTTCTGCCCTCCTTCATCTTGACAAACTCTTGCCTTTCAAAACTCATCTCAGACATTATTGTCTAAAACACTTCATAAACTATTTTTTAAATATTTATTTATTTATTAATTATATGTAGTGTTCTGCCTGCATGTATTCCTGTAGGCCAGAAGAGGGCACCAGATCTCATTACAGATGGTTGTGAGCCACCATGTGGTTGCTGGAATTGAACTCAGGACCTCTGGAAGAGCAGTCAGTGCTCTTAACCTCTGAGCCCCCATAAATTTTTTTAATGCATATGAGTTTTGCTCACATGCACATCTGTGTACCATGTGCATACCTAATGCCCATGGAAGTCAGAAGAGGGCATCAGATCCTCTACAACTGGAGTTATTAACAGTTGTAAGCTGCCATCTGGGTGCTGGGGGTTGAACCTGGGCCTTCTGTAAGAACAAGTGCTATTAACTACAGAGCCATCTCTTTAATCCCAACCATAAACTTTTAACCTGAAAATTGTGTATAATGATAGCATATTGAGTACTCAGCATCACAAATTATCAGAGAAATAAAAAAAAAACCCACAATGTGATATCAGCTCCATCCAGGAAGAATAGCCATTAGCAAATAAATAAATATGTAGGATTGGGATTCATGAGTACTTGTCTTTAAAAAAGTATCATGGGGAATCTTCAGAATGTCAAAGTGGAACACCATATTGTTAGTATACTGTTAGTGAAACTTTCTCTGTCTCTCCATGTGATGTCAATGTCTGTGTTACTCCAACCCCGAGAAGTCTATCACAGCTCTCCTTGCATGACATCACAGTCTCTCATCTCATTTCTCTTATCCCCACACCCTCACCACCTCTTAAAATCCACACTACTGCTTCCAAAGTCTGGTGCATTTGAGACCCAATATTTTCATGTATGTATGTATGTATGTATGTATGTATGTATGTATGTATGTATGTATCATGACATGTGTAAGTATGCTTGGCATGCACTCATGTGCCTATGCATATTCACATGTGTGTAGGTGTATTTAGGGTCCAGAGGTTGACATTAGGTGTCTTTCTCAAGTGCTTTCCTCTTCATTTATCAAGGCAAATTATTTTATTAGGCTCAGAGGTTGCCTAATGGGGGGATGTCCTTTTGTATATATGTTTCTCGTATTGGTTGATGAATAAGATACTGTTTGACCAATAGAGGCAGGATGATAGACGGGACTAGGAGACGAGGAGAATTCTGGGAAAGGTAGGCAGAGAGGCACCTTGAAGAGATGCCATGTAGAGACCAGGAGGATAGGATTGCCAGGTGTTCTCTGGTAAGATAAGGCCATGTAGAAATACATAGATTAGTAGTTATGGGTTAATAATTAAGACAGAGTTAGCCAAGAAGACGCCCTAGCCTTCAGCCAACAGTTTTATAAATTAATATAATGTCTGTGTTTATTTGAGGCAAAGCATCTGTGGGACCAGGCAGGACAAGAAATTCCAGTGACAGTTGCCAGTTCACTTGGTCTGGCTAGCTAATTTGTTCTGAGATTCCTGTCTTTGGCTCTAGAGACCTGGGATTACAAGAGCACTGGGATAACAGGAACTCTGGGATTACAGGAGCACTAGGATTACAGGAACACAGGGATTACAGGAACACAGGGATTACAGGAGCACTGGGATTACAGGAGCACTGGGATAACAGGAACTCTGGGATTACAGGCGCACTGGGATTACAGGAACAAAGGGATTACAGGAGCACTGGGATTATGGGAGCACTAGGATTACAGGAGCATTGCACAACCACCAGGCACAGTGCTAGGAACCAGTTCTCCAGTCCTCCAGCCTCAGGAGCAAGTGTTTTATCCACTGAGCCATCTCTCCAGCCTCCCTTAGACCTGGACTATTCTCTGATTATGTTTTCAACACTTTGACACCTCAGTTAGACCACAAATGTTTTTGGTATTGTTTTCTATCATATATTTAACCTAGTAACATCTTTGGTTCAGGTTAGTCATTTATTAAGGGTATGATATTGGTAAAGAAAAGTAGTTTATATATACAGTGGACATTTTTTTTAGCCATAAAGTATGTGTTTTTTTGCAGGAAAATAGATGCAACTTGACAAAATCCACATTAAGTGAATTAAATCAGTCAGAGAAGTATGCATCTTTTACTTCATTTGTGGGTCCTATACTTTATGGATGCATAAAATCGTATGTGTGTAGATGGTATGCAAGTACAAGGGAAACTGTTCAGGAAATAAAGGGGACTGGTGGCAGGGTGGGGGGAGGAAGGAGTGGGCACACTCAAAGGACACCACACAACTGAATAAAAATGCCCTTATGTAGCCCTATCTAGTATGACTTTTAAGACAACAAAAAAGAATGAAATTGAACAAACCTTCAAGGTATTAGTATTTAAATCTGAATTTAAAGTCAGCATATAAGTGTGTGTGTGTGTGTGTGTGTGTTTTAGAGAGAGAGAGAGAGAGAGAGAGAGAGAGAGAGAGAGAGAGAGAAGTGAGACAAGAGACATGGGGAGAGAAATTTTAATTTATTCACTGGTGTGTCTGTTTTAGAAATACAGTCTTTCTGCTGATTGTGTTTCAGCAGGAAAAAAAAAAACAATTTATAAGAATGACAAGCTCCGTGAAGTACATCAGGAACAGTCAGTAATCAAACTGCCCAATTACATTTCCTATAACTGATTAAGATTAATCTGGACCTTCAGAGGAACAAAAATTTGGTTGCTGGGGTGAGGTTTTTTTTTTAAATAGCTGTATCACTATAAATTTATACCCACCATATAAAAACTGTCAATGTATTTAATTAACTGCCAAAATATTCCCCACGGAAGGCTGTCAACTGAATTAACTAAGCACCACAGTTAAGTTTTAATTAGCCATTTTAGGGCCTGTAGAATTAGGTGCAGAAGGCAAGGTGATAATCATTGTATACAATGTATATATGTATGTATTCCTCCCTCTTATACAATACATTGTATATGTATATATGTATTGTATATGTATATATGTATACATTGTATATGTATTGTATATGTATATATGCATACAATGTATATGTATTTCTCCCTCTTTTAATTTCACATGAAATTCTAAGTACTCATATTTCCAATCATATCCTGCCTCTTCCTGCCTCCTCCCTCCTTTTCTCTCTCCTTCCCTTATTTCCTTCCTTTATTTCCCTCTTTCCCCTTGTAGTTTCGCTTAGCTTTAACTTTTAACCACATGTATTCAATACTTTTTAAATAGTACTATTTTTAAGGAGAGATTAGCTTCCAGAGCCTAGAATTTATAAAGTCAACACTTTAATAACATTTTTAATTAAAATATTCATGAGGTTAGAGAGAGCTCAGTTCAGAGGGCCCAGGTTCTATTCCTAGGGCCTGCATAGTGACTCACAGCTGTTTGAAATTCCAATTGCAGGAGATCTATGGGAACTATACACACATGGTACCTAGCCATACATACCTGCAAAACACACATAAAATAAAATGGTCATAGAAAAACAACCCATCACAGATCCAGCTAGGTTTGTAGTCTTTCAATTCTGTCAGAACAACCTACTTTATTTGGTGTGAGTTCATGCATTTATGAAAGTGATTGGTTATGATGGTTATGTAACACCTAACTCACAGGTTGCTTTGATGTCTTTAACATGTTTTGTCTACAGCTAATTTCATCACAATCATCTCTTGCCTACCCCAACACACACACACACACACACACACACACACACACACACACGAGAGAGAGAGAGAGAGAGAGAGAGAGAGAGAGAGAGAGAGAGAGAGAGAGATAAATCAGTCAAATGTCATGTACTTGGCTGTAACAAGCTACTACATTTAGATATTATAGAAGTCTCAATTATTTGATTGCATAGCATCTGACCACAAGGCATTAGAATGAGTTATGGAAGAGGCAGTTTATTTCAAAAGAATGAAGCTACTCTGACAGACTAATTGATGACTATGTGATGTACTCTCAGATAGTAATTGGCTCAATACCAAGCCACTAGTCATCTGAACACTAAGTTGAAAGTAGGTACATTAGATGAGGACTAGGGAGATGGTTCAGTTGAAAGCATGAGGACCCAAATTCAATCCCCAAAATCCATATAACAAAAGCTAAGCACAGTGACACATACTTCCAACCTTGGTGTTGAGGGGATGGAGACAAGTGGATCCCAATCCTGCCACCCAGGTTGGTCTACTTGGTGAGTTCCAGGCCAGTGAAAGACCTGGTCTCAAAAGAACAAAGGGTCACATTTTGGAGGAATGACATCTGATGTGTTTCTCTGGCCTCACACACATAGACACCCATTCACTAGCATGCACTTGAACCACCCCCCCCCCCCCACCCCCCCCCCCTCCCTACAAGAAAATAAATCCCACACACACACACACACACACACACACACACACACACACACACACACACCAGAGGCTCTTTCCCCAGATCTCACTGAGAAATTTCTTAAGGTTCAGTTATCCAAATTGAACACACACAATTGACCAAACAAACAGAAGTATGTATAGACCTTTATTTTGCTGTCTGCTATGTAACCAATCCCAAGAGATTATTCTAGATATCTTAAAAAAATCTTTTTATTTTTTAAAAAAGAAGACCGTGGGAGGGGGCTGGAGAGATGGCTCCTCAGTTAAGAGCACTGGCTGCTTTTTTAGAGGACCTGGTTTGATTCTATGTATCTACATGATGGCTCACAACTGTCTGTCACTCCAGTTACAGAGGGTCTGATGCCCTCTTCTGACTTCTATGGGCACTGCACATACATACAAGCAAAACACTACTCACATACATAATTACAAATACCTTTTTTTAAACTCAAAAAGGGGAGGGCTAATGTGTTTTGATTAGGACAGTTTTATGACTCAGAAGCTTTGAGACAGTGGGATTTGCTTTTGTTTGAGAACATATTCTACCAGGGGACTTTGTCACTTCTTGAATTGCAGGGACCAAGGTTTGCTATTCGCTGTGTGGCCTTTAAGAAGACACTTTCCCACTCTGATGCTTGTGTTCCATAGTTACAGAAAGGATTTTATAACATTTTCTTCAGTGGGCCGTTTGAAAGATCAAATGAAATAATGTGAAATGCTTTTCAAATGTTAAACTACTAAGGGGCTGGAGAGATGGCTCAGCATTTAAGAGTACAGGCTGCTCTTGCAGAGGACCTGGGTTTGATTTCCAGCACCCACATGGTGATTTACTACCATCCATAACTCCAGATCCTGAGGATCTGATGTTCTCTTTTGACCTACAGGCACTACACAAACATTGTTGTAATTTGAAAAATTGGCTCAACAGAGAAAGATTCCATGCAACAGAATTTAAACAGAAGTTTATTATTATTATTATTAAGGGAAAAGGATCATAAAAAGGGGGAATGGGAGTAGGGAGACCAGCCTCCAGGAGCAGGAGCATTGGGAGAGAGGAAAGAGAGGCAGAGAGTGGGGGCAGGGGTGGAGGATGGAAGGTAGGTAGGGCCCTTTAAAAAGGAAACATAATAGGTACAGATGGTGTTCTTAGTGGCAACAGCTGAGGGCATATCCTATCAGAACTCCAAAGGCAGGCCAATACAAATGCCTAAATACTAACACACATGATGCAAGTATATACATACATATAGGTAAAACCCCATACATATCAAACAAGATAAATAAAAATATTATACTATTAAATTATAACACTAAGTTTATGATTATTATTATATATTTCTATCAGACATTAGTCCTCAAAGCCTTTTCTTTAATATATTTTGGTCACATATCATGTGATATTTACCCAGGTTTATTAGAAGAGGGAGATTCTATTCCCTGGACCAAAGCCCTAAGTGTCTGCTTTTACAGCACCATTTAGTACCACTGACTTCCTTCAGCGTCCTTTAAGCTTCTTTGAGTGGTTACCTTAGAAATGAAAACTGTGATGGTTGGGATGCAACTCAGTCAGTTGGGTGATTGTCTAGCATGTCTGAAAAACTGGTTCCATGCCCAGCAACACCTACAAATTGGGAGTGATGGTGCACACCTGCAATCCTAGCTCTTGGAGTTGGAGGCTGGAGGATTCAAAGTCCAAGGTCCCCCTCAGTTATATAGTGAGTTTAGGCTGGCCTAGGATAAACAAGATCTGGTCTCAAATAAATATACAAATAAATATAATCATGCACATTATGGTATAAATTGGCATATTTATGTATAATTTTATACATGCTCTAAAATATTGTCAGCATTATAAAACACACAAAAAATAACAGTCACTTTCAGAAGAATGGAAGGGATTCAGGGTTTGTAGACAGTGACATAAATCTAGCACTTCCTTCCTATTTCCTTCTCAAAAGAAACAGAAAGCTGGACCGTGGTGGTGCACACCTTTAATACCAGCTCTTGGGAGGCAGAGGCAGAGTTCCAGAATAGCCTGGTCTACAGAATGAGGATAGCCAAGTTCTAGGATAGCCAAGGCCACACAGAGAAAACCTGTCTTGAAAAAAAAAAACAAAAAAAGCTCCCCCCAAACAACAACAACAACAACAAAATGAACAAGAAAGATTAACCTTATTTCTGACAAAGGAGAAAATAGCTATAACCTAGGTGGGAAAGGTGATGAAGGTTATTTAGGAAGACACGAAGCCGCGACACCTTGCACTTACCTTAGAAAAAGACAACACACACTTCTCCAGGGAGGTGTGCCTTGAGGTGTGAAACCTAAAATCTGTGTGCACCAGCAGAGGAAGGAAAGCATGCTGCTTCCATAGAGGCTTTTTTGTAGCTGGTTTTATTCCAGAAATGAAGAAAATGAAACTAGAAAAGAAATTACAGACATGAGTCATATGTTCAGGAAGCAATCTGTCTCTGCCAGAGGCAGAGAAAAGTAACTTTGCTTTGGAAGAAACTCATTTTGGCTTAATGCCATTAACTCAACAGAAAACAAACTTGTTAAAACTCTGCAATGTGAGAAAAGTTCTGGCTGGACTTGGCCCTTCCCCAACATGAATTTCCGCAAATATTAGGTCCTGGAAAAACTCATGTTGTTAAGATGAAAAATCTATAAGAAGCCAGCAGGCGATCTATATAATCACCAGAAAAGATAAAGACAGTGGCCAATGGCACCAGAAAAATATTTCTACAGGGTAAGACATGTGACTAGATATTTGACTATCAAATTTAAATCCCTCACTCAGGAGGCAGAGGCAAGTGAGTCTCTGTGAGTTCAAGGCTAACATGATATATATATATATATATATATATATAATAAAGAAAGAACACAAGATTTGGAAGTGGCAGAGGAAAGATCTTGAAATTGCAAGACACACCAGGGAAACTAAAAAGAGTAGAGGGGAGAGTGGAGGGAAGCCCAGCACAGTCAAAACAATATTAAAAGGGGTGAAAAAGGAGATGCCATGGAAGACAAAGGGGATGGACCATATGTATGCTTGACGCTTCAGAAGAAGAAAATACTGACTCATAATGAATATTTTGGAGAACGGTTTTAGTATTTTAAAAATGAAAAGAGCATATACACATGCACACATACCTGTTCATACACACACACACACACACACACACACACACACACACACA